CCCCAAAACCCCAAAACCCCAAAACCCCAAAACCCCATAAATTTTACATAATTAGAATAATAATTATGGACAAGGCGAAGCCTTCCAAGCTTAACATGGATATTAGAGCGATCATCAAGAAAGATAGGAAGGCATTTAGGCCTTCCAAGAAGTTTAATGGTAACATTTTGAAACCCTTGGGGTTGGAACTATATGTCCAACTGGCTGGTATAGCCCAGAATTAGGGATTTTGGAGGTGTTAGTCGTGTGATGAGGGATATAGCAGAAGAGAATAGCACGAATGCCCAGAAAAGTTATCATAATATGATAAAAAGCCATTTTAAGAATAAGGTAGTTGTACTGGAACATTGGTTTATTAGCCTAGAACATTTATTTAGAGTCAGCCGTCATTCCATTCGAATTCTCAAGGAAACATACATGAGTCCGGAGGTTCCTAAATTTTATACCAACCCAAAAGTTGGTATGAAATATTTCAAGGTGCGTTTAATCCTAAAATCATCTCTCTCAGCTATTACTTTTAACATTTTCCCTATCTATAGTTTACCAAAAATGAGAAGCAGTCTACACAAATTAAAACTAAAATGGTAATTTAAAGCACTCAAATAAGACCAATTTCTTTGGAGGGCCAAATACGCAAATTTCATATGGGAGACAAATTCTGCACGAAATCTTTTAAAGTTTTCCACAATTTTTAATCCCTAAAACACCAACATCGTTTTACACTGTGGGAGTTTACAGACGGAAGATTCCTAAATTTTGCGATTTTAGAATATGAATCAACAAAATATGGGTATCAATAGGAGCAAGTACATCAAGATCTTCAGCAAGAATGCAGTCGCTAAGATGAAAAGAAGGCAGGAACGTAGAAGTCTCTTTGATGCCATGAATCATCACAGAAGTCAGGAAATTAAAGGTAAATATTTCAGAAGACCATTCAATTTCGAACTAAATTTGTTCTCTGTAGAATACCAAAATTCAGAGCTTTTGGAGACAGTTCAAGAAATCCAAAGGCAACGGCAGTGGCAAAAAGAGGTAGAGTTATTTGATATTGTAGAACAAACAAAAGAGATCTGAAAGTCCATCTCTTAAGAAAAACAATAGTTTCAATACTTTTGAGGTCCAGAAGCCTCCAAAGAGCAGAGTTGTATATCAAAGGGTGAAGGATATCCCTCGCCAACTTGGAGTAGAAAGCAAGTTAATTAAATTTATATATGGAGATAAATATTTTACTTCTAGTTCTTAACTGTTCTGTTAATTAGCATATGTTTTAGGTTGATATACCAAGAAGCCATCCAAGGCTTCCAAGATGATGTCAAAATTCAACTACAATGACACGTTCATGTCGATTAGTTGAGATGAGTCAAAAGCAGGTTTGCTTAACATCAGTAAGAATCTGGTATAACCAGATAGATCCGAAGACGACTGTGAATAATTTTCGTCCACAGTATAGACCGAGTAAGTGTATTCCTTAAGCTTCTTTCTAGGCCAGCAATTTGAAGAGTATCAGTAAGTAACAACCTGAAGGTTTATGAAACTTTGTAGAAATATGAGGCAGATTAAGGCCAGTCCATCACTCAGATCCAATTCTTTGGGAACTAGGTATGTTTGGGGTCTTTGAATTTTTGAAATTTGATTTGTTCGAGTTGAATTTTGGGTGTAGTCTATGCAAGCTAAAGAAGAAATATGAGGGATCTAAGGAGAATTATACCTCAATCTTTAAGCCTTCACATTCAAATATAATGATTGAGGGTTCACATTTAAACAAAGCAACTTGTTCTAAGCATGAATGATCAAATAACAGACATCAATCAACAACTAATTTTGAAAGTAAAGTATCACCAATCAAGATCTCCATTAATATCTGAGGAGATGTAAAATTTGATAATATGCCAGCAAGCACATATAACAATGGGCTGAAACAAAATTGTACTGATGATTTTTCATGCTCAAACACTCTTCAACCATATTCAGGACTTGAAATTAACAAGTAAGTTTTGAGATTAATCTTGGAGCAGGATGAAATTTACATATACTCTCTTTACAAATTTCTATCACTACCTCAAATTTCAAATCGTCACAACTTTCATGCTCATATGAGTATGTTGTTTATCAAAACGTTAACTTTCCCTTGGTCTAAAATTGAGCTAACTAGCCAGAACATTTTTCTTAAATGGAAAATTAACCCAAACTCCTGATCTGTAACTACTCACATAGGAGTTCCAAAAGCAAGCGGTCAGTCTCATCGACCTTCAGTGATGCCAAAAGGCGTCCTCGGGACTCTCTAAATCCGAGGGCAGCCCAAACACTGGGTAAGCTAGCCCCTGATTTTTAGAGAAGAGTAGTGGCCTTATTAAGATAGACAACCATTTTTGTACATTTGGGCTTAATCTTATAGACCAAGTGCCGATCAACCTTGAGCTAGGAACACTCGGATTTAAGGAAAAACCTCTCAGGTTAGTATTAAGCTTGACTATTATATGGAGAATAATTGAGATAGTAGGGGATGGAGAGTCGGTAAGGATTGCAACAGAGAAAGTCATGGTAGTTATGTATGAGAGACTGACAAGGATAAGGCTCTTCGTTCAGGCCTTGTGTTGAAATCTCGTAAGGCTAAACAACATAAGAGAAGATAACTTTCAATCAAGCACATTTTTTAGGGGTTTTGGGGTTTTGGGGTTTTGGGG